CCCCAAAACCCCAAAACCCCAAAACCCCAAAACCCCTCGATATACCTCATTAATTGAAATTATTTATTTCTACCGTCAATTCAATGGAAGGTTCTCCTAAAAATCCGGAACATGGTAAAATGCCTGATATGAACGCTCTTTTTGGCCAAAATATGCTTCAAGATCCACAAGATATTGAGAATGCTCAATCCTTCCAGGATTTGTTTTCTGAATACATGGCAAAAATTCAAAAGAGGAAGGCTATTAGCATGGGATTTGCTTCTGGAGTAATCTCTTTGCTCACTTCACCTCTCCTGACGCTTGGAATGATCAAGCAGTTATCCATTCCAAATGGTAAGGTCTGGCTCTTGACTCTTTAGGATATTACAAAACCTATAACGACTTCAAGTCTACAAAAGCTCAAGGAAGTTTTCAAAGTAAGTTTTACACTCTTCAATCTCTAATAATTCTCTAGGAGTTAAAAATGATTCCCAAGGAGCTGGAAATGCTGCAAAATATGGAGCTAGAAGGGTAGATCTACCTTATAAGCCTATCAATGTCAACACATATATGGAGGCTACACACGCACTTATGAGACAAGGACTTACCTCTTTCTTCAAAGGAAATGGCATCAGATGACTACATATGTGCCTCTTCCAGTATATTAGAACTGATCTCTCCCTCAGGATCGATCAAATGTACGGACAAGATAAAGAGCACGAGAACTATGTCTTGGTAAGCAGTTAGTTTGATGACATAGAACCTCCTCAAAAATGCTCCTTTACTCAAAGAATTCCTTGTTGCTTCAGCTGCAGATTTTGTTCTTCATCCTCTTCACTGAGCAGAGGCAAGATTTGTGCTTCAACACAGATCAATGAACTTCTGTGTTTACCCTACTCTATTCTCGTTCTTCAAGTCTTCATACGGGGAGATGTGGAGAGGTATTCTACTTCATGCTCCAAAGAACATGTTGCTTGCACTAACTGGAGTTTCGTTCATAAATTCTTCTAACTGGATTATGTACTGAATTCCCTTCCTTGTGTATCCATTCCTTACCATCCAGAGAAGGATCGAATGCCAAAGCATCAAGAAGGGCATGCTCCAAACCAAATACAGAGGATTCTTTAGCGGAATGTACCAAATTCTCAAGAATGAAGGTCCTTTGTCTCTTTACAGAGGATTTCCTGCTTTCTTTTTGGCAACAACACTTTGGATGCTCTGCGTCCCTTCAATTTCAAATTGGTACATGGAAAACTCTCCTTGGGCTAACCAAGAAACCAGAGATATTAAATTCAGAGATGAAATGGACCCTGCAAGAAGGTATGAAGAGTACGAAGATGATGATATTGATGATGAGGATCTCCGTGCTGCAGCCAAGAGCCAATAAACCATTTATTTCAATCACTGGGAAACATTTCGGGGTTTTGGGGTTTTGGGGTTTTGGGGTTTTGGGG